AAAATCCTAACGGTTTTTCCCCCCCCCTCCCCCCCCCCCAGCTCCACACACCCCACTCGCCAAAAGTTTGTTAACTTGTCACGTTAAGAAATTCTTTACTTATCGAACATCAGAAAATTTAGTAGAAATATTTTTCATTCATACCAAACACTGATAGCTATATTTACTGACTTCCATTTTACAAAACATAAACAGATTCTCTCTATTTTATGGCATCAAAGCTTCTAAAGTCAACATCACAGGTTTGTCCATATATACTTGTCTCTTTTTTACTCCATTGAATATATCCTTTACCATTACATTCCCCATTATTTCCAAAAAAAATGAGAAGATAAATCATCCTACTACCTTCCATAGGTACCAACGAAAAAAAAAAAAAATCAAAAATAATAATATTTTTTTAGTAAAAAAACAATAATGAGGTCAATTTTTGTTTTATTTTTGGGTATGGCAGGGTGCAGCAAGCACATGTTATGTAGCATTGAGCCCACAAACAGAAGGGATGAGTGGGAAATACTTTGCAGACTGTAATGAAAGTCACTCTTCAGTTTTAGCAAATGATGAAATTGAAGCTCATAAACTTTGGAAGGGTACTCGTGTTCTTATCTATAGAAGATTTCTTCCACATGTAAATTGATCAAAAAAAAAAAAAAGATTAGTTTTTGTACATGTTAATAAATAGATATACTTTGTTGTATATCCATATAATATATGATGATAGATGAAAATAATATGATACAAGTATAGTAGTCTGTCCAATTGTTAGCTAACTGATGGAGTACAAATGTTATTAGTGGAAATAATGAAGAATCTTCTTTTTAGTGGTCCATTATATATTGCTCAGTATGGGTTACGACACGCTTTTGCCTTTTTTTAGTTGGCACTTTTCGCATAATATCCAACATACTGTACCACAAATCAAATCTCCCCCTTAACAAAAATCGTTTGGATATTTCAAGATTAAATTTGGATGGTACAAATTTATCATGTGTTCGTTATCTCATCTTATCTCATTCAGGGATCATTTGGTAGAGTGTATTAATAAAATTAATGCATGCATTACCTTTGTGTATTAGTAGTCCCTTCTGTGGTACACTTTTTCATACTATGTACACTCTATTGTGTATTGAGAAGTGTATTACTAATATCATGATTTCTAGGTATTAGTAATGCAAATGGATCTAATCCATGCGTTAGCATGGTTAAAGACCCAATTACCCCTCAAAAACACGTTTACATCTTTTCCACTCATAATTGTGAAGAATACTTTTGTAAGTACACATTGTTATACAATACCTACCATTTTTAATGCACTAAACCAAACAATGCATAACTAATACAAGCAATACTAATATACTCTATTGAGTTTTTTTTTATACACACTACCAAACGAACCTTAAATAAATTAGCCCAAAGATTATAACCTCACAGCTACAATTATGTAATAATTTAGTCCGTGAACCAAACGACAACTTACACAACTTACCTTAAAAGGGATCAAATTCATCACTTTCTTTCACATGTGCAATTAGACCATCTGTATTTAATTGGATAGAGAGTTTAAAGACAAGAATTCTTGAAGCATATGGTCTGAAACAAGTCGGACATATATAACCTATAAACCACGAGGAAGATTAATTTCAGACCTGCCTTCACATTTCGCTTCCTCACATATGTATACCAAAAATTCATCAGAGATTGCCTTGTCATCAACATTGCAATATACAGTAGTCCCAAATTGATACTAAAAAGATAATATACACATCCCACCAAAAAGCAAAAACCAGAATAAAAGTGTTGGCAGAACACCTGTAAAAACTGTTCCACAGAGCAGAAGCTCAGATGAATCGAGTATATCATATTCCAAAGCCGCACCAAAACAAGCCTGGTGAAATAAGAGATCAAAGGAAACGTGCAAAAAGAATGCAGAATCTAAGCAATCTCTATTCTACATTACAAACATTTGATGATACATTACAATGTACAAAAAGAAAAAGGATCTGTCTTTGTGGAGAAAAAAATAAGTGGAAACATATATAGCTACAACGATAAAAAAATGACTAACTCGAAAGTTATAAGATGGATCATAGAGAAAAGTCAACAGAGTTTGGACATAAGAAATGAAGTCAACCACCAGAACCGTTTTGCAAAGACAGCAAGGCTTTGAACATTTGATCAGGTAGCCATTTGACTTGACCGGTTACTGATCCTAACCTTCACGTAGAAGCAAATCAGGTTTTTGCTTATCACGACTTGAGAACTTGATGGCGAAGCAACTTCAAACGAAACTGCGCAACCATTATCATCTTTTGACCTGCCAAAAAGTAAATTTTGCACATTAGAAACCCATGCAGTTTGAGGTGCTTGCTCAAAATTAATCCTAATTCAATTTATGCAATGATTGTTGAAACGAAGATATTGCACACCAGGTATTTCCTGCCAAAAGAACACATTCACATGAAAGTATAATGATGGAATTGTTCATGAACAGTCCTGTTCAGAAAATTCAGTCATCCAAAGTTGTAAATTAGAGAATCTTTCCATATAAATGCCCTCTGTCAGTGATGTTAGGTCCCTTCTGAGGGGCACACTGATATCATCTCAGGCATATGCATGTATGTTGGTCTATAGATGTGTCTATCCAGACACGACAGTGAGAAAAGGTTATCAAGTACAAATGCTTGTGAACCTTTTAAACAGCCCAGTACATAGACCAACAGGATATAATCAGTCTCAATTATTTGTTCATGTTAACCGTGATTTTTTCTTGTTTGGCTTGGTATCATCAAACAACACTTAGCATGTCAATGAGGGATTAAACATTTCTACACAGTAACATAGGAATTAAGGAAAGAATGCATCTGACAATATGCTTGAGCCTGAAATGTGAAGGCAATGACATTCCCCTAGAATTGCTTATCAAATTTTCTATAGGTCCCCTCCTCTGACAGTTAATGATAAAGTTCCTATTCCAACTTTTATTTATGCAATGTCCCACCCAAACGTCAATTTCATCAGGAGTATTAACTTTGACTCATAAAAATGGTAACAATGTCCCACCCAAACGTCAATAGTTTGGATGAGTAGTATTTACGAGTTCAATTGGTATAGCTCCAATCAACCCATCCAAGAGATTGGATCGACTTGCATAACATTACTAGCAAATTTTACCCAAATTAACCTGTAAGAGAAATTTGTTGCACATAAAACGAGAGAAAAAAAGCAGAAAACTAGTCTTTACCGTAGGGCAATATCACTTTCTTGTACAATAATTCTTTTGTTATGAACTCAATTGGATAGCAACAGATTAGAAGAAAACAAAAACAAACAGAGAAGAGGTTTTGAGTTGAGTAGGTTGGCCTATGACCCATTGATCCACCTATCTTGACCCAAGAGTATTTGCGACTGGTTGGGTCAATCACATTTTCTTTGATTCAACACATTGTAACCCATCAGAACTTGACCAAACATTTCCTCCTCCATTTGACACCCCTAATTGATCATATATGCTAACTGGCTTCCTTCCAGCACATGTGCATTAATTTTTTTTCACCCCTATAGCAAAAGAATAGGAACTAAAGCAGAAATTTCATCTCCGATCGGAGTACTGGGAAGTCAGGATTGCAGAGGGGGATGAATCACAGACGACTTCAAGCATAGGTAAATTTTGAAACTGGACTGAACCTTGCTGGATGACAGCAAAGTGGAAAATGATGTTGCTCAAGTGTCTAAGAGGGTGTGACCATTCAATTTGAGTGTTTCTTTTCTGTCTTCCATTCCCTTTTTCTCATTCCTCTCCTGGTAACAAGTTCCATATAATTTTGAGTTAAATTAATCAAGCAAAATTTCTATCCGCAGCAAGTCTCAAAGATATTAAGAATATTAGAGAGAACACTCGGGGGAAACCATTCCTGGCATCAACGCAAACATTTCTAAGAAAATATAATGTATGTATAAAGAAAAAAGAAAGAAACACAGAAATCAGTTAGAGCTTGTTGTCCTTGTACAAGTTCTCAAAATTAATAAATCCTACCTTAAAACGAGGAGAACGCCGGAGGGATGACGCAGATCCAGGAGATAGGAGTGCTGCCCTACTCCCTTTGGCACGGTCAAGTTTCTTGGAATTTCTGTTATGTTCATCAGATTGATGCTCCTGTTGCTGGGATAAAAACTCACTTCTACTATCAGTTGACATGGAAGAAACTGGGGCAGACACAGAGATCATGAAAGTGTCTTGATCACGAGATGCTATGTCAGGAAATGTTCCTGGATGGATAAGAAACATAAACATATTCGGAACCATCATACAGCAATTGATGACATCCCCTATATATTTATTAATCAACTTATCTTTCAAGAGTATATTTATGCACTTGTTCATGATCACGGTTTAAATATAAATAGGTCGATCTTGTAGGAAAATCCAGGTTATAACAATAAATTTAGCTTCCAAATTGTGAAACGTTTAATTACTTGAATGCATTAACAAAATCATTTTCTAATTTCTACTAATGATTCGAACAAAAATCCATTTTTGGGGTGCAACAAGAGTTTGTATTCTGAAATGTTATCAGAGGGATTTGCATTTGTTGTGGAAATTCCTTGCAAGAAGATGCAGTACTCAAGGGGATTGCTAGCAGCCAATGTTCTATGATTTCCTGCACAATTAGCTGTATATGGGTCTGGTGTAACTAAATAAGGCTCAGAGGATAACATAACATAGAAATGAAATACAGGGCATACCATGTATTACGGCTGCTTGAAACTTTTCTCTCATAGTCCTGACAAACTTGAACAGTCCATTGCTTGTATTTAACTCTCTGAGCAGCTCTTTTGCATCATTTAGTTGTGGATCACATTCAATCACTAAAAATCCAAGCCAAACAAGAATTAAAGTACAGAACCATTTTCACTGATGTATAGTTGATAAATGTTCCACACTTACAAGTATACACATCATTCTCATGACGTACGGTAAAAAAGTACTCCTTATCCTGATTATTGGCATCAATATTGGTAAATATGAATTTCACTCCTGTGGAAGACAAAGGAAATGAATGCTCAGTGGACAAATCTAACAATAGAAGAAAGTTGTATTTCTTTTACTGGAAAAAATCCATTATTAATAATTAGAGCCTGTGGCAGGGTTATATTGTTCAGAAAGTGGAGTCTGCTTCTCTAGAATCTTAAATGCGTACAGAAGTTGAAGGATATGCATACCATGGCCACATTCAATACGTAATCCAAGCACCTTATTGTACCACGCAATAGCCTCTTCTATTTCCTCTCTCTGTTCAGCAGTCTGATTATGCTTTTCTTCACATGCTTTGAGTTCTTTTACCCAAACAAACAAAAGAAGAAGACGAAGAAATGCACAGATCAATTACCCAACAGGATATGGTGTCTCTTGGTAGAAACAGAAGAAACAGTCACAAAGTTATCGACATAAAAGAAGCACCAACATTATTCACAAAAAATAACAACTTTCACAATGAAGTACGGGGGAGAGTTTGAAAAGGGGGGCACAAATTAAAAATTAAATAAAAATTAAACATTATCACATGCAACATCCAACAGTAGTTTTCAAAGGAAGAAGAGACAAAGAATCACTATTCCTTAATGCCATCTTCCAACCAAATTAGGTGTCTTCATTTCTTTTGGATGACTATAATCTCTCGATCATTTTCCAAAGCCGAAGCCGAGCGAGAATTAGGTGCCTTCATTTGACCAGGCACAATCATTTAAAGTTTTAAACTAGCATTTCTATTTTACTGCTACATTAAACTGGAGGTGAATCAACATATAGAAATAAACTACACTTCTGATGAATTTCAAATATAATTGGGTCTCATGTTACTTTAATTGCTTTGGAGGGTGTAAAGAAGAAAGATGAAAGTCGACAAACACCTCTAATCTGAGACAAGGCCAAGCCAAGTGATAAGACTAGAGCCTAAGGTCAAATAGAACTTCTTGATAAATCTACTTTTTTCTCTTCCCTTCCCTAAAATATATCAAATGAATTGCTTTGCATACCATACGGTAACATTGCCAAACTGAGGATGTAGAAATTAACTTTTAGGATAACTTTTGTCTTGAAATTTATTTACTAACAACACACAGAAGCAATAAATACTGCAATTGGATTCATGATCGTAAACCAGTTGGATATAAAAATAAATAATTTCAGCAGTCATCTCATGCTATAACTAAATGGAATATTAAAAAATTGAAATTAAGCATAAATGATTCTTGAAACATCACTGTTTGCTATTTCTCTCATAGAAAAACTCTACATGAAGCATGTACGACTTTGTCAAATGCATGAAAAGTGGGCAGACTTTTGTAGGGATAGATTTTACCATCAGCTTGTTGAGATATTATGGCTGCATATTCATCTTTTCTGGCCCTTTGGTTTTCCACAACCCCTCTAAGTTCTTCTACTTTATCTTTTGTAGCAGATATTGAGTCTGCTACTGCTATCTGCTTTGCCTCTTTTCGGGTCTTCGCTGAAGATGACATACATGTTAGAGTTATAAATTAATAGCAGAGACAAAATAATAATAATCCAATTTTTATAGAGAGCAAATGATCATTCAAAATCAGTAATACACAGAAAAATAAAGGAGGAGTAATTCAAATTTTTCCCAAGGAAACTAGTACAAGTGTACAACAACAACATACCAAGTGTAATCCCACAAGCAGGGCTTCGGGAGGGTAGGACGTACACATACCTTACCCCTACCGTTGTAAGGTAGAAAGGCTATTTTCAAAAGACCCTCAGCTCAAAAGGCAGCGTCAGACGGGATTCCAAGGAAATAAGTAGTATACAGAAATTGCAGGATATTCAGGCTGGATATATGTAATTAGTGGCTGAAAATCATTCCTCTCAAGTCTCAAATATGAAAAACAAATGAACTTGAGAGTAAAAAGAAGAGATTTTTGGAAAATACTGTGGGTGAGAACCAGCAGAATAAGTAAATAACCTCCAGAATTGTGTGATGAGTACCATACTGCAGCTACTTTGGATGTGAATCTTCTACAAATACTTCCCATTTTCAGTCAATAAAACAAGATAGCCAGAAACAACAATATCTCGAATAACAAAAACGTGCTACGATAAATCCTTTTAACTTTGGAAGCACTGTTACTCAGAACTTCAGGCTGTCAGTGTTTATTGACTCTTATTGTCGCTACAATAAAGACCTTCAGAGTTTAAAGAACAGTTTATTCACATACTTAGTACTTAGATCATCACATATGCAAGTTCACTTTTCGAAAAAAGGCAATGAGAAGTTCACCAACCACGTCAATGAGATTAGAATAACAACCTAACTTCAAAGTCACAATAAATGTGATATGAGGGCAAGTTCCACTGCCAATAACAGAATGATACTATTTTGATCAAGAAGTTTGTTGTATAAAAAATATTTACTTCCTTCATATCAACAATCTTATAGACCATGACATTTTGTTCTAACTGAAAATAAATTCTTCATAATTGTATGTCATTAAAATCTTCCTCTCTTTGGTACAACTGTACATACTGTAGAACATAACAATCATTTTCGGCAATAACTATGCTTCATTAGAAAATCCACAAGCAAACATTACATCCATCCTCTTTTCTCAATATTGATAACTATTATGATGAAGCAACAGCAAAATGAACCACCCTCTGAATCCTTTATCAGAAATGGTAGCACCTAGATAAACAATAACGGCTCAAACTAAGACATGCTATACCCTGATGGAATGCATACCTAATACCATCCAGCACTGGCAAATGTAGAGTTCAGTCTGCGAATCCATCTCAACCCAGTACTTCTAATCCGGAACATAAATGTATACGTAAAAATCAACTAAAATTGCAATAAATAGTAGGTCTGAACCCATAATTTCAAAAATATAATGGGCTCACTGCTAAGAACTTAAATATTGAACTCAAAGTTTAAATCATTAATCCACCCCAACCATCCAGAGGTTTGACTGTCAGCAAAGAACAACAGCATACATAATGACCAGTATACCAAAAAATGGAAAAGAGTGACACACCTGCAAGTGCTTTCACCAATTTGTCTTCCAACTCCCTCAGCTCAACTTTTAACTTGCCAAGTTTTGCTGGTGCAACCAATCAATTAAATCAAATAATCCAATCAATAAGATCCCAAATGAAGAAAAAGAAATAATCTTCCAGCTACGATTCTTGAGAATGATGCGTAGCTGAAAACCCTAACTTTAGAAAACTAGAAGTTCGAGTAAATATCGTACAAAAGCCTCAGAATTTAGCCTGTGGACAAAAACTTACACTGTAATTGAAGAGTTTCTTGTGCTTGTGCCTTGGTTGAATCGAGAGATTTTTTGAAGGAACGAGTGGCAGCATCGATTCTCTGCTGTTGAATTGGAATCTCCCTGTCACAAACCAATCTAAGTTCCTCCATTTTGTTCCTAGTAATTTCCCCTACGCTGATCTTCATCCCAATCTCAAAAGCTCTCTGCTTGCTTTTCTTTGAGATTTGAACACTGAGAGACGATATGCTTAGCCCGCCATTTTCATATCTTTATTTTGAAAATATATGATGGAATTCTCTACACTTTTCTAAAAATCTTAATGATTGACAATGGTTTCTTGTTTTTATGTGCAATATAAAAAAATTTAACACCTCCCTCCGTTTTAATTTATTTATCATTAAAATATATATTTGTTGTCATTTTTTCTTCTTCTTGCAATTATTTTTTTAAATGAATTCCTTTATAAGCTAAGGATCTATCAAAATAATTTTTCAGTTTTACAAAAAATAGAAATAATGTGTGCGTATTTTTTACCTTCTCCAAACTCCTCTAATGAGATTATATTAGATATATTATTATTATTATATTCCCACAATTGCATATTAACATTAACTAATTGCTCAAATTGTAAAAAAAATCAATAAAATAAAAATGGCATTTAGTTGTCCAAGAAAGACCTAGAAAAACTTTAAATATCTAAACAAAAAACATACTCTCTCCGTTTCATAAAGAATGACCTGGTTTGACTTGGCACGGAGGAGTTTAAGTAAATAAAGAAGACTTTTGGATCTTGTGATCCTAAATTAAAGTTATGTCAAATGTACAAAATTGCCCTTAATCTTGTGGTCTTAAACATGTCACGTGGAAAGCAAAAAGTAAAATGTAACCAAAAAAGGAAAGAGGTCATTCTTTTTTAAACTGACTAAAAAAGAAAGGAGGTCACTCTTTGTGAAACGGAGGAAATATTAAAAATTGGTTAACTCTCTAAAAACTAATTGTGCCACATAAATTAAAACAAAAAATAAACATATGTTGAGCTCGTAGTAATACAGACTCTTGTGACTAGTATTAATGAGATAGATGAGAGAAGACATTGATAAAAAGGTTCCATTTAACAAGCTTTCTGGGATTGACCAAATAATAGAATTGCACAACAACTATAGCACCTATGATTTATACATAGAATTGTAGACAAGTGTAAAAAATATATTATTATCTTGAATTTAAATTTTATGCAAAACTAGTTACAAGTAAAAATGACACATTTTAATTGCGGAAAAGGATTATATTTACCCTTGTACTATTCGAAATAGTTTAAATATGCCATTCGTTATACTTTTGGGCCAAATATACTCTTACCGTTATACTTTGGGCCAAATATACCCCTCATCCGTTAAAACTTTGAATCTCAATCTTAGAATAAAAAAGTGAAGGATTGTGATTAACTTGAAGGACCATATCTTTTGTCCTAGACAACATCTAAAATAACTCATAATCCAACCCAAGTAAGGCTTCTCATATCAACATACAACAATGGAGTAATGTCATATTCATCTAAGTTGATGATTCTCAACATTTGAACACACACGACACTTACAAATCTCAGCAATTAATTGAAATTCCGATGAGTCAAGTGTCAACGATGAAGAACTGGAGAATTTTGAATTATTTTTTTCAAGCTTATTGTCAAATTTAAAGAACCTAAAAATGAATTCAGCTGAATCATACTAAGCAAGGAGAATCTCAGCTTAAAAAGGAATAATCCAAATAATTTTCAATAATCCATTGATTTCCAACAATTTCATATCACAAATTTGAAGGTCAAAGACCCAACAATTTTGTTTCCAACTTCTCCACCCAATGTGCATTATATGTTTAATTGTTTAGCGCGTCAATTCAAATCAATCAAATTTCAAGCACCACATCAATTGAACTTTCACAAAGTTTAGAATCAAACCCAGACAATTCGTTGAAAGAATTGTGCTTTTGTTTGCTTATTCAATAAGAACAACACACAGTAAACTATTTTTAAAAAATTTGCAACTTTTTTTCCAATATTTTATATTTTGATAGGCAAAATAAATGAAAACATTAATTATATAAACCAATTTTCATGTAATGCAGGAAGCTAAATAATTTTTACAAACAACTCGTTGTGCTTTTGTTTGTTTATAAATGGGTTTGGGCAAAAAAGTGTGGGTGTTGGCTGAGACAAAAAATATGGGTCCTTCAAATCAATCTCAACTCTCCACTTAGGGGTTTACAAAATCGAACCGAAAACTGAACCAAACCGTAAATCAAGTCAAACCGAGAAAGAAACCCAACTAGTGATTGGTTTGACTTGGTTTGGTATTGAAAAATAAAACCCGACTATAGTTGGATTGGTTTGGTTTTAACTAAAAAAAATCAACCCGAGACCAAACCAACCCGACATTATATCTATAATTTTAAAATTTTATTTTATACATAAAAATATTTACTTTGATATAATTTTTAAATATTTCTTATACTTTTTCATAGTTTTTATCTTTTAATATATTATTTCAAATTTGAAACTTAGAATTTTGAATGGTTCAATAAAGATTATAGTCCACATATGTTTGTAATTATAATAAAGCTTAAATCAAAATCAAATTAATACTAATGCAAAATGAAAATCAATTCAACACTAAGAATGACAATAATATTAAATATTTGTTCTTTGGATTTACAATGATTTAGACAATTCAAATACATAATCTAATTTTAATTTCCTTTAATATTTAGTCATGTAACTAAGTACTTATTAAACTTATTTTAGCATGATTTAGTACTTTTAAATTATGATCATTTTCATTATGACTTGCTAATTTGCAATATTTGTTTTACGTGATTTCATTATTATTATTTTTTTGTTGGATATTTTAGTGTCATTACTCATATCATATTTTGTGTTATTTTCTTAAGAAACACCTTATATAGTTGTATTTTGGTAGGACTAAAGAAATTTTTGAAGTACAAGTAAATTATATGTTTGTATGAATACTTTACCGAAAAAACCCTAAAAAATCCAAAAAAAACTGAGGTAGAAAAATCCGAGTTTTATTGGTTTGGTTTGGTTTATAGATTTAAAAATCCGACACAAATGGTTTGGTTTGATATTTGAAAAACCCGAATCGACCCGGTCATGTATACCCTTACCTCCACTTGTTTATTTTAAGATTGAGATTCAAATATTTAACGGATGAGGATATTATTTGGCCCAAAAGTATAACGAAGTACATATTTAAACTATTTCGAATAGTACAGGGGTAAATATAACCCTTTTCCATTTTAATTGTACACGAAAGGAACCTTATGAAATGACATTTAACAAATCACTTTTTAGATATATGCAAAATTTTAAACGTGCAAGTAAAGAGTAATTTTTTTTTACCAATCTCCTATATGTTAATTAGATATGCAATAATACACATTACTACACAACTATTTAATTTACTGTCAAGAAGTTGCTGCTTCTTTCAGTAACTCAAAGTTATAGTTTTTTTCTATTAGCTACATAGTGTTCTTTCATTTTTACGATGACTATCTCAAATACTTTTTATGGTATAAAATATATATTTTCTATATGTATTCATGAATATACTAGCTATCTGTTTTCATTATTGTTCAATGTAGGGACATTATTATCTCTGCGCAGTAGTATAATGATGTTATTTATCGCTGCAACTATAATTTTATATTGTCATAGCCAATTAATCAATAAAATACCTTATAACATTGTTGTTTCTCAAAATAAGATCGGAGATTTCAACACAATAGCTAGAGGTAATATTGGTGGCCCCAGATCATAGTGTCAAGCAATACTTCATAAGGATTAAGAAAGACACGTATAAGGAATATATTAGTAATTTTCATTGTTTTGTAAGAACAAAAAGATTATGGTGCTAATTATCAGAAACAAAAGAACAGGGAGCAAATAATAAGAACTAAGAAGTATATGTTAGGGGTGCAAATTGCAAAAAACTACTTAGAACTCATAAGCAGAAATAGAGCCACTCCAGAAAACAACTCTCTTCTTCTTCTTCGAGCCTGTCGGCTATTCCATCCTTCTTCTGTTGCAGTTTGCTGAGTTAATCTCGGAGACTAATAGCTTCTCCTCGACTTGGGGATCAATGGTATTTTTCTATTATGAGATAAAGATTTGATCTTGATGTTAATTTCTCATTTTTTTTTTTTTGTTGTTGGTGGGCACCAGTAATTCATCTTTCTTTTAATTTAATTTAAAGAAGAAATGATACCTTAATCCTTAAATTTAAATTTAATCTTTCTTGATTTTACCTGTAAAATTTGTGAAAATAATTAGGTTTGTTTCCTGATAATTGCATAATTGATTGAATGCAAATGTTCTATTCATACCTTCAAATGATTTGAACAGTCCAAGAAATAATTTTGGGGGTTGTTTTTACCGATTCTTGCTTATTCTGATTGATTGTTTACTGTTCAAGTTTGACTAGACCATAGCTTATTCATTCTAGGCTTTTCCTCCGCGCACTGCGCCTCTCTCTTTGTATTCAGAAATGTAATTACTTTGTTGCTTAACATATCGAGTTCCCCCATTGAGTTATCGGGGAAACAAAACATTGCCATGAACATGGCTAGAGACAAGGTGGACCTCCATTTTGTCTAATTTTACTTATGCATAACATTTTTGTGATGCCTTACCCATTTGAGCAATTTGCAGACCAATCGTTTTAGTTCTGTATGCATTTTAAAGAAGAGATTGCAGCTCACTGTATCCATATGATGTGCTGATTAATATATCTTCATCCATGATGCCAAAAACACATGTTTTGTAGTAAAATTTCATGTTTTCAGTTGGGAACGGAATGTGATGATCTTGGAAAGTATTGAGAGTTTGAGCCATTGGCCATTATGCCTCTAATATAACTATTTATTCAATTATCTCTACTTGAGCCTGGAAATTCATATATGCATACTGTTACAACTGAAAAACAAAACTAGTGTACATGTTTATAAATGCACTCCATACATATTTTTGCTTCCAAAGCTGAGTTATTGATTTTCTGTTTTAAAAAAACATCCTGTAGAATACTGGCTTTGAAATAATATCGTCCATACATGTTTTTGCTTAAATTTCCCAAATATATTAGTTATGATAACAGGTTTGACAAAAAAGAACTGAGTTGATATATTAAAAGATCTGAAAGGTGAATGGAGCTCCATTATGGTTTTAAAAGTTCCGGATTTTTAAAAAAATGGTAGGTATCATAAAAATCCCCAACTTAAGAAATTAGTAACTGTGAATTCTCCATGCTAAACTTGATCGTTCTTTAAGCTCTTCAATATATTGACAAATTATCACAAGATCAATAGTCAAGTTGGTTTGATCAATTGAATTAGGAAGTTCCCTTTGCTTCTGTGGTTGGAATTGTCAATGGATTGAGGCTTATTTTACTTTGCTAAAGCCCCATAACTCTAACTGGCTGGGGTCTAGTGGTTGCAATTACTTCTGCATTGTTGTCCATCAATTTAAATTGGTAAATTCTCCTTTTATCCTAAACTCAAATTATCTTAACTTGAGTAGTTCAAAAGGGATGTGAAATGTGTTATGGAATGGTTTTTATGTGACTGTGAATGATTTCTGGTTTGTGAATTGAGTTGAGATTAAGATGGAATTCAGTTGAATTTTGTTTTGCTGAAAATTTTGTGTTCTTCTGTAGTTTTCAAGTACTTACTAATTTATGTGTTGAAAAATGTAAAACCACATCAAACAAATGTCTAGTGCGAGTTACCTCTCCTATGTGGTTTGCGAGCTATTGCATAGGAGCGGGTGTTTTACGCTGAGCGCACCCAAAGGGTAGCGGCTGTGGGTTTCCCTTGTCATCAATAAAAAAAAACAAATGTCTAAGCTCAGATGCATTCAAAGAACTTTCGGGAAATGATTGAAAAACATATATTGCCATAGATATAATAACATAAAAGCAGAAAATAAAAGGCGACAACTAAATTACATTAAATAAAAAAGACAACATATAAACCATGAGATTTTGATTACATCATTACACTGCCCATTACAAGTATTCATAGAAAATCACCAATGATAAAGAGCAAACAAATATTTGCCAACATGCGATCTTCCCTTATAGAATACTGTAAAATGCAAAAATGTTTTTTTAGATAATTCTTTCTGTGCTGATGCTAAACTAACATAACATTTTTGATCATTGTGATTTACTTGGCAGGACAATCATTAACACCCGCAGTCCTGTGAACCTCACAGTTATTAGCAGATTATATTCGAAAACTAGTTCCTAATCTTCTAGAATGCTTTCGTCAGTTATTTCTCGATATTCAACTTTCTTACCTTCTTCTTTGCTTCTCGCGCAATTCGAAACCTTGCTTCATCATCACGGTTATCACTCCACCCCCTCCAATGCCCCAAACACCACTTCCTTTCCCAACTATGATGACCCAAATTCATCCCCAAGTTCAACTAGTGCTTCCTCTGACCCTCTGAACCCCACCATCATGCTGGAAACCCTCTCTTGTTACAACAATGACTGGAGAAGAGCTTTAGAGTTCTTCAACTGGGCCGAGACGCAGTGTGGCTTCCATCACACCAGCCAAACGTGCAACCAACTTATTGACATTCTGGGAAAGTTCTTTGAATTTGATGCAGCTTGGAGCTTGATTGAGAAAATGAGAAGTGTATCCTCCATGCCTGACCACACCACTTTCCGAGTCTTGTTCAAACGTTATGTGTCTGCTCACATGGTAAAAGAAGCAATTGATATGTTTGATAAGATGGAGGAATTTAATTTAAAAGATCAAGTTTCATTTTCAAATCTAATTGATGCTTTATGTGAGTATAAGCATGTGATAGAGGCCGAAGACTTGTGCTTCCCTAAGAACAAGAATGATGTGAAGTATTCATGTTTTAAGGTGGACACAAAAATATGTAATATGCTTCTTCGTGGGTGGTTCAAGATGAGTTGGTGGGGTAAATGTAGACAGTTTTGGGAAGAGATGGATACAAGGGGTGTGCAAAAGGATCTGTATTCGTACTCAATTTACATGGATGTACAGTGCAAGAGCGGAAAGCCATGGAAAGCTGTAAAATTATACAAAGAAATGAAGAAGAAAGGAATTAACTTGGATGTGATCGCGTATAACACTGTTATCCGTGCTATTGGGATTTCAGATGGTGTTGATGTAGCAGCTAAGCTCTGTCAAGAGATGATTGAGTTGGGGTGCAAACCAAATGTTTCTACGTACAACACACTGATCAAGCTTATGTGTGAAAATGGGAGGTATAGAGACGCATATAAAGTGCTTAGTCAAATGCCTCACAAGGGTTGCGAGCCTAATGTCATTACATACAACAGCTTCTTTGGTTGCCTTGAAAAGCCGAGAGAGATTCTCAAATTGTTTGATAGAATGATTGAAAGCGGAGTGCGACCTAGGATGGACACCTATGTCATGCTTATGAGGAAATTTGGAAGATGGGGATTTCTTCGACCGGTCTTTATTCTTTGGGAAAAGATGGAAAAACAGGGATTGAGTCCAGATGCGTCTGCTTACAATGCATTAATTGATGCCTTGGTACAAAAGGGTATGGTTGATATGGCACGTAAATATGATGAAGAGATGTTAGCAAAGGGCCTTTCAGCTAAGCCGAGGGTAGAACTGGGGACAAAGTTGACTACTCCTGACTGTGAAGGCACCTGATGACAATGCAGTTAAGATGTAAAAAACCCATGTTGAACTTCAGCTGTTCTTTGTTATCCTTGTGCTTGGTAACAGCAGGTGATCCTCCTTTTGAAGTGTCTACAAAGTGCAAAAGCAACGCCTCATGAATTGACATTCTTTGAAGATACCAGAATGTGTTTCAGTGAGCTACGTGTTTGTGGCTGCATTGCATCAGGTCTTGTGCATCTAAATCTGGCAAGCCCTCTGTTGACCTCAAGTCATTTTGGTTAGAATGCTTATTTGACCGCACTGGAAAGAAAGAATCAAACTGTGGTCTTTACCCTTTGGGATTCTTTTCGATGTATACACCGACCTCTAAAGATGGTGAGTAGTAGCCAAACAGGAGTTGTTTCACATCACCTGTGTTGATTGGGGACCTTGAAAGTTTTGTACCAATTTCAGAGGCAATGAGAGATTCTGTTGTAAAGATAACAACAAGTAACTTTTTATTTCTTTCAAACAAGAGGTGATCTTTTGAACTCAACAAACTTGTATTATGTGTGTATTCTAAGTTGTTTGTTACTAATCTGTTCAAAAGAGTGAGTTCAGACAGGTTATAGCTTGGAATGTTGTTAGTAAATGCTGCTGCTGTTGCTGCTACTTATCAGTAAGCACGAGGCAGCAACACAAGATAAAAACTTATCCGCACCATTTGTTTACATCAAATCAATGATAGCATGATGTGTTTTGTGCATTTTCCTGAGCTGTATTTCTCGGTTTGATGGAGTAATAAATATACTTATTTATAAAAAATAAATAAAAAAAGTAAACAGGCAAATGAGTTTCAACTTATCGTATATATATAATTTTTTAATTACCTAATTATACGGTATAATTTTCAAGCAATTTGAAACACTACGATAAATAATCCAAAATATTTGCTTACTTTTTTAATTGACAAATTTTGTGATGAAATATGTAAAATTTTAGAGAAAGGTGGAGAAGTTTTATAAATTGCCTTTTTTCTTTCTTTCTTTCTTTCCCCCTTTGCAATTTTACCCCTCAACGGAAAATGGCCAAATTTGTTTCTCTACTATTGAAAATTAATTATATTTATCCTTCATTATACTTTTTCAACAAAATTGTCTTTATCATTAACCTTTGAATAAATATTTATCCCTCAATTATTATTTTCTTGGCCCCCACCTTTAGTTTGCTATGTGGCGTCCTCGTGAATTTTCATTTTTTAAAATTTAATTATTTTAACCTGATTCATTGTTAAATTCGTCTAAATTTGCAATATAAATCCATCCCAAATGTTCTCAAAACTTCAATTCTTTTCGGTCATAAGAAACATCGACTAAGCTAGGGTTCCTGACGATTCTTTATGTGCGGCTCGAGACTTCAAGTACTGCTCAACAAGTAAGATTTTTATTACTTAAACTCTTTATTAAAGCTATTTTAATCATGTTTTACTTCCTAAATTACATGTAACATTACATGTTGGAATTGAGGAATCAAATCCAAAAGGAATTGAATTTTACAACAATCTAATAGATGACTAGAAAAAAAAATTGTATTATGAAATAAGCTATTAAAATGAAAATCAAACTTGATATGAAGCTAATCAATTTATTTCAACATAAGAAATGCAACCTTATGCAACTTTGTTTTACTAGGATTTATCACAAAAGTTCAAAGATTTATAGGAGGGATTTTTAAGCAAATCAAATAATATATGTATTTGAATGAGTTTTCTTTTCCAGTCACAGGATCTGCCACAAAAGTTCAATTCTTTTCTAATCATTAGAAACATCGACTAAGCTAGGATCTACCACAAAAGTTCGAAGATTTGTAGGAGGGAGTTTTAAGCAAATCGAATAATATATGTATTTGAATGAGTTCTTTTTTCAGTCATAGGATCTACTACAAAAGTTCGATTTTTTTCTAGCCATTGGAAACATCGAAAAAGTTAGGGTTCTTTGTGATTCTTTATGTGTTGATCGAGGCTTCAAAATCTGCTCAACATGTAGGATTTTTGTTACTTAAACTTTTTACTAAAACTATTTTTATCATGTTTTACTTCCTAACTTACATGAGTTACATGTAACATTACATATCGAAACAGAGGAATCAAATCCAAAAGGTCTGAATTCTACGACAATTTAATAGATGCCTTACTAGGAAAAAAAGGGTTATACGAGGAAACATGCTATCTAAAAAAATCGAACTTGATATGAAGCTAATCAAATTTATTTCAACATTAGAAATGCAACTATATACAACTTTATTTTATAGAATCTACCACAAAAATTAGAAAATTTGTACGAAGAATTTTTAAGTAAATAGAATAATATATGTATTTGACTGAGTATATTGTGTTCCATAAGTGAAGTATAAATTCCTAGCTATTAAACTCTTATTTCTGCTAGTTTACTTATTACAGGACAGAATTGGGAGTTTGAGAATTTTTGGGATGAATTAATTTTACAAAAAAAATAAATTAAATTGAGAGTAATTCAAATTAGAAAAAAATAGTACGGAGTAATTTACACAAACATCACATAGAAAATAAAAGTGGAGATAAATAATGGAAATTAGTGGTTTAAAAATAATAATGTGTTCAAAATTGAATCAAGACATTTAAAACGAAAGTATAATGATACTAAATTTAATTTTTTCTATAATTAAATTAGAGTCAGACTAAATACAAATATAACTTATTTCTGAGTGCAATAGGGCAATTTTGACCCTTTTTCATAGATACAAATAACAGAAGAGCAGAATAGAGTGCTCTCTGCTTCGTCTACTGTCTTCCTCCTTTCAGTTTTGCACTTTCGCTGAGGAATTTGGCAGCCGGCTCTATTATCATAATACTCCCAAGGAGGCCAACAACTTCTCCTCAATCTGAGACACAATGGTATTCTTTTAATTTCAATAAATATTTGATTTTGCTATTCTAGGTTCTTCCTTATCTGCAATTTTTTAAAAAAAAATTACAGTTGGTGATTGTTTCCGTTTCTCTGTTGTTGGTTTGCACTTGTATTGCGGAGTTGTGGCTAATTTCAATGAGGACTGAAATTAAATATGTCATGCTGGTGTCTTATTGTGGATATTGAAATCTTCTTTCACTTGCTTTGATACCTTTGGTTAATTCGTAAGCAAAGATGACACCTTTAGTTAAAAACACAATATTTCTTGAATTTTACTTTTAGGTTTTTGCTTAATCCTTTTGGTGTCCGGCTAGCTCTGGCACACCTCGACTAATTCTACGTGTACCTGTCATCTTTCACCACCAATAGGTACCCGTCTATCAAGGCTAGAACATATGGGAAGAAATCACCTAGTGTGTAGTCTTTGCTGGGATTCGAACCTGAGACCTCATGGTGCTCAACCCACTACATTGACCATTAGGCCACACCCCGCATGGAAGAAGAAGTCTTTCTCTTCTGCATTGTTATGTATATAATCAAAGTAGTTGGGAATTTCGCGGGAGAGTTATCACTTGGGATATATTCACTATCTTTTCTCAAAAAAGACATCGTGGATGCTCGCCTAGTTGAAATTACCTCAATCTTCTCTTCTCCTTAATTGAATAGGCTTATAAATCCATCTTTAGCTCTTATTTGTAGGTATTGAATGCCATTTTTTTATGTATAGATCAAATGGCTTCGTGCACCTTTATCATTATTGGAAGTATATTAATTTTTGAGTGTCACTTCCTACCCTTGTGGAATCGATGCTAACCAACTAAAATCTAGTCCAAGGTTTTAATATTTGTTCCTCTAAAAGTGGATTTTTGTGTAATCTTTTTGTGCTACCAAGAAACAGAAAACTAAAAGTTATCTCCTATTACTTTTTATATTTGCTTTCAGGGTCTTGATTTTTGCTCCTTCTCAAAATCATGTTCATATTACGCATGCATGGGTGTGACCTAGTGGTCAATGAAGTTGATTGAGAACCATGAGATTTCAGGTTACATTTCCAACTGAGATAAAAAACACTAGGTGATTTTTTTCCCACCTGTCTTGACCTTGGTGAATAGAGTTACCTATTACCTGTGCCATTGGGAGGTGGCAGGTACCTTATGAAATTAGTCAAGGTGCGCACAAACTTGGCCCCGACACCATGGTTATCAAATTATTTTTTCAAAAAAATGATCTAGATTATTTTCTTTTTCCGATGTTGCACTCAAATAGTTAAAATCATTGAATCAAACCCACTTTTAAACTTCTTAGATCAACATATATCTTTGGACTTTTACATCCTAGGCAAAATCAAAGATCTTCTCCAAGAACACAAATCAATCCCTCCAACTTGCTTTGTCTCATTGTTATGTCATAGTCCATAGGAACCTATGTCGAGCTTTAGCATGCTTAAATGATAACTGAAACTCTCATGATCGTTATTTCCTACTTTCAAAATCTGACACTTTGGTAGTGTGTCTTCACATGCTTTCATTATCAAAGGATATTTTTAAGGTGCTATTATTTTTTTATCAATTTTCTGGTTATAAATCTCTTTCAACTCTTACTTCTGTGTTAATTTGTTGATTGCTTTACAGTTTACATCATATCAGATAGGAGGCCTATTCCACTTAAGAAAATTTTGATGAAATAATCCTAATAATTAGAGTATTAGACTGCAATTTAAATTGTAGGTTTACGGGGCTCATAAATCTTTGCTTCTTATTGAAAGGCTCTTGTCATGTCCTTAGTCCTCAACTAAGTGCGTGTGCGACACTTGACAACTTTCTTACGTTCTTACACAATTTGCTCACGATCTCGCTATGTCAAGTCAATCTAAGACACTAGGAATTCGCTAAGGTAATGATAGAAAGAATACAAGAGAATTGCAAGGGACATTTGTATTGGAGAGAACTTGAATTATTTGCTTCGAGATTTTACAAATGAATACTCCTCTATTTATACTACTCACTTAGGGGCTAATCTGCAAATAATAATTAGTACTCAAATCCTTTCATATTTAAAAGTAGGTCCGTTCTCTAAATTCTCTACATACCTAGAATATTCTAAGACCTTTCATAAATTCTTCTGAAATATTCCATAAGAATCTAGAGTCTTTGCAGACTTTCCATGGTTCTAGAATATTCAACAAATGCTAGCATCTTCCTTATGTAAGCTTCCACATGGCAAAAAGGTGTGTCAAGTGGTGAGCAATAGACCACCCTCCACCCAAAAGCGCAACCATATCCCCAACTCAATAAGCGCTAGTTGGCACACCTTTTTGCCATGTGAAAGCTTACATAAGAAGCTTTTGTGGGAAGATTCTAGAACTTTGGAGAGTCTCTTAGAATGACTCTAAATTCTTATGGAATATCTAGGAATTTTTTTTAAAAGGCTTTAGAATATTCTGGACATGTAGAGAATTCTAGAGAAGAAACCTACTTGTAAATATGAAATGATCTGTTTAATAATTATTATTTGCATATTATCCCTAATCGTGTAGTATAAATAGGGAGGTATTCATCTGTAATATCATCAAGCAACTAATTCAAGTCTCTCCAATACAAATCTCCCTAGCAATTCTCTTTTGTTCTTTCTATCATCCCCTTAGCGATTCCTAGTGTCTTAGGCCGACTTGACATAGCGAGGTTGTGAGCAAGTTGTGCAAGAACGTGTACAAGTTGTCATGTGTTGCACGCACACTTAGTTGAAGACTAAGGACATGCCAACATTATATCGAGCAAGGTTGTAACTAAGAAAATGACAAACGACGGAGAAATCAATGATGCTACCACCCAAGATGCTACTAGCATGAAAAGCTATAACAAAAAGAGAAGTGTCGTCAACAAAAACCAGGAAATGTCGCTCAAGGTTGAGTCAAACGAAAGACTTACATTCATAAACCTTCTGCCACTGAGGTGAGCAAGGATGATGTGGAGGTCCTGCCTAGAAATGTCTCGCTTGGTAGAGAGTGGGTTATGAAGGTTAATGTGTGGATGAATGTAGTCGAGATATTTGTCCAACGCTTTGGGAAGGTAGAAGACACTCAAGTGTTCTTGAGGGGCACATTCTTGAAAAGATCGAGAGCATCTGAAATGACTTGGATGGGCGAAAACAGACCAAGATAGAGATGATTCCATGGAGGCGTTGAGCACTATCGATGCCATGAAGGCAAAGATGAGGCACTCGAAGAGCAGGTCGGCACTGGCGTGACTAAGACAACAAGAAATGTTGTTGTAACGAGGGAGGCTAAGATTGAGGCTCCCAAACCACCGGTGTTCAAAAGGGTTCATAATGCTCAAGAAGTAGAGAATTTTGTTTGGCACTTGGAGAACTATTCTTGGCATGGAAAGGTGAGGGGCTACAAAGCCAAGATCAATACTGTTTGTTGTACCTATCTGTCATGCTATGATGGAGACGAAAAGTGGTTGATGCTAAGAGAGGTTTATGCACTATCAGCATGTGGGATCAGTTCCTCCTATATACTGTCTTTTACAAGGCAAGGCGCAAACTTCAGGATTTGAAGCAAACATAGAGCATACATGACTATGTCAAAGAGTTCACCACCCTTATTCTCTAAATCCCCAACCTCACCAGCAATGACTTGTTCCACTTTATGGATCAGTTGCAAAATTGGGCTAAGTAGGAGTTGCAATGCCAATAAGTCACAGATATAGACGAAGCCATAGTAGAGTCTGAGTCTTTGATGGATTTCTGGCAAGATATGTATGACAAAGGTAAAGGCAATGAGTTAAAAAGTAGGTTAGTAGGTCTCTTAGCTTTTTCAAAGAGAAGGGATGCTACATATGCAGAGGGCCACACGGTTTCAGGAAACTTCCCGACTTAAAGAGTCTCAATGCTATGGTGCATGAGCAGAAGGGAAAAAAAGCAAAGAGAGGGCACAACACAATTAGGTATGATAGGACTATGTGGAGCTGTCAAGTAGCAATCTATGCAGCCCGACGACAATGACAATCAGTACATGAATCTCTCTATCAATAACAAACCCGCTTGTGTATCGGTGGACACTAGATCAATTCATAATTTTGTGACCGAGGCTGCAACAAAGAGACTAGAGTTGAAGGTCGCTCCAGCTCACTCCCGCGTTAATACCGTGAATACAAAGACTCAAAATGCTCATGGTGTAGCCTATGGTGTTGGTGTCAAATTAGGCAATTGGAAAGGTACGACAAACTTTACCGCCCTAACAGTGGATATCTGTGATATTGTTCTAGAGTAGTAGTTCTTTAGACACTGTCACACTTTAATCACCCTTACCTCTACGTCTTTTGGTCATGAAATAAGAAGGAGCTCACATGGTGCCTACAGTGACTATGTCGCACAGAGAGAGCCAAGCACAACTTTCGGCTATGTAGTTAGTCAAGGGGCTCACGAAGGAGGCGCTGACATCCATGGCAACCATTGCAAGTTTGGAGCAAGACATGGGTTACCATGAGACATTGTCGCCTTGCTAAGAGAAGTGAGTGAAAGAGCACAAAGATGCTATGCCCAAACAAACTACCTAAGCCCTTGCCTTGTAGGCATGAGGTAGATCACAAGATTAAGTTAGAGCCAGGAGTTAAGCCACCCGTATACGCTTCTTATTGCATGGTACCACTTGGAGCTTATGAAATAATTGATAGAGTAATTGGATGCCGGTCACACCCATCCATCGAAGACACCTTTGGCGCGCCGATGTTATTCCAAAAGAAGAAGGATGGTTTATTGTGTTTATGTGTAGACTACCGGGCGCTTAACAAAGTTAAAATGAAGAACAAGCATTTGATCCCGCTAATAACTGACTTATTTGATAGACTTGGACAAACCAAGTACTTTATCAAGGTAGATCTTCACAAAGGCTACTACCAGGTTCGCATTGTGGAAGGGGATGAGCCGAAGACAACATGTGTGACGAGATATGGAGCCTTTGAGTGGTTGGTAATACATTTCGGCTCAACCAACACACCTGTTACATTTTCCTCTCTCATGAGCTAGTTCTTTCATCTCTATCAGCTATCTTGATAAGTTTGTAGTAGTATACTTAGATGATAAAGGCATCTATAGCAACACCTTGGAGGAGCATGTAGAGCACTTAAGAAAGGTATTCCAAGTCTTGCTGGAGAATGAGTTATACATCAAGAGGGAGAAGTGCAAATTTGCACAATCAAAGGCACCCTTCTTGGACATGTCATCATCAATGGCGAGCTACGCATGGACAAGGCTAAGGTTCGAGCTATCCAAGAGTGAGAGGCACCTACAAAGTTAACTGAGTAGAGATCTTTCCTTAGCCTTGTTAACTACTATCGCCGGTTCATCAATGAATATTCAGCCAAAGCAACACCATTAACTGAGTTGTTAAAGAAGAACAAGCCATGAGTTTGGACGGAACATTGTCAAAAGGCATTTGAAGGCATTAAGACAGTTGTGACAGTCTTGGCATTGCCTGACTTTACCAAGACATTCAAGGTACATACATATGCATCTGATTTTACTATTGGGGGTGTCTTGATGCAGGATATTTATCCTATAGCATTCGAGTGCTGCAAGTTGAATGAGACAGAATGATGTTACACAGTGCAAGAATGTGAGCAAGTTGTCAAGTGTCGCACGTCCACTTAATTGAAGACTAAGGAAGTGACACTCTGGTCAGTTACTTTTGTGGGCTGACACTGATAATCAGATTAACTTTCAGTCCATGATGCACAATAGAAGATAGTCAACCTCACTGTTACTGCTTCTGCCATTTGGCATATTTCCTTAGGTTATCATTCTTGTACGAGGTCGTCCTAACTTCACATGGATGTCTTTGTTGACTGCACTTGCTGAACCCATAATTTCTGCCTCATCAAGCCAGTAAATTCCTTAGCACCTGCCCGTAGACTGAATTCAAGAACCAATTTAAACTCTGATCTCCATTTACTCAACAGCCTGAAGCCCCTTCAACATCCCTTCTTGTCTTAATCCTTTATAATCACACCTGTTGTTTATTATGCACATTCTTGGCCCTGCCAGATAAGTATCTATATATGTGGTTGCAAGTGGTCATGGCCTCTTTGATTTTTGTGAAGTTGTCGTCATAGTGCACTTGAATCTCTTTATTAGTTTCCCAGGTTGAAAAGCTACCTAATCAACTTTTGTTTGTGTTCAGACACACACTTCTAGTTGAGTGAGTTTAAAATGGATTGTTTGTGGGTTGGTGAATGTGAATAGAGTGAAAAGATACCATAGCTGATAAATATGTAAAGAAAACTTTGATGATACTTCCCACAATATACTGTGTAGAGAAAAACTTCAATAACACTTCATACAATATATTCACGGTTTCTGTCGGAGTGCTTTCCAGATTGTTTTTTGTATTATTCTGGGAAGATGCATGTCTTTTTAGTTTATTAAGTTAAAAGGGATTGGCAGAATACACATTATAGTTTGTAGCACCCCAAGTGTGTGGCCTAGTGGTCAATGAAGTGTTGGTGAGTACAATTACCCAACACCTGTGCTGGTGGGAGGTAGCAGGTAACAGGTGGAATATCGAGGTGTGCACAAGTTGGCCCAGACACCACTATTAGAAAAATATGAAAATGTATATCTTGTATACAATACTAAAAGTTTCATGTGAAAAGATCTCCAGGAGCCACAAGTCAATGAGCATTTTAAAAATTGGCCTGTAAGAATAATGCTATACTTTGCCATAGTCCAAGAGACTGCTAGAAATTGCCTATTTTAGGAATCATTGCCATGTCTCAGTTGAAAATTTTAATTCATTATTACTGTAGTATTCATCTAATCTGTACAGGTTTAATTATTACTTGAATATTTAGTGTCTTTTGCACAGCTGTTCTTGCCCAATGCTTGATTTAGTTTTGCATCAACCAGTATCTTGCTTTGTGGTAGATGACTAGCAATTTATTCCTAGAATCCTTTCATGACAGGAAAATTTTGATCATCGATTTCAACGAACTGATCAGTGGAAGCCTGTCTATTCCTGGTTAGAGACTCTAGACACAGACGAGGTGGTTAAATCAAAAGAAATTATAGACTGGCTTACTGAGAATTCTGATGTGAGAGAACAATTAAATTCAAGGCATTCACGTTATCATTTGATGCATTACATAAAAAAATGCCACATGAAAATTCTGAAGAGAAAGGAGAAGAAGAAGGTATAATATCTAGTTTATCGGAAGTTGAGTAGGCTTTACTGCATTAATGTCATGTTTCCAGTATCTCAATTTCTTCCTCCACTGAATGAAAGAGGAATTCAGTAATTCCATATGTCTGATCATGCATGCTTTTGTGTCTGCATTGTCAACTTCTAATTCTCTTCATCTTTATTCAGCATTAAACGTATTACTGACAATTTGTTCTGTTGGCAGGGACCAGGATTCACCAAAAACGTGTCTGTGTCAGAAGTCAAGAAAAGTGAAGATGTGAAGAAACTTGTTCCAGTTCAAACTACAGGTGAATTCTGTTGTTACATAGAATGTAGTGCATAACAAGAGTAAGCACGCTCTAAGTTGTCAGAATAATTAATCATTACTAGACCTTTTTGTATACAATGAATATTTTTGGCAAGGGAGAAAAGCTCATATGAATCTATTTCTGTGGTTTCCCGTCGTATCCCTGTAGACAAAGCAAACTCATGAATCAGGACCGAGGAGTTTATAGTATAGTAAGTCAGTGTTGGAAGAGTATTCCTATAGAAGCGGAGATCCTGCTTAATACATGAACCGAACAACATCTTTGAATTACTTCAAAAACATATGTATCCTAAATGATAAATCCATGCTTAATTACCTTTGCTACTAGCTTGTACTTCTCCATGTTTGCATGTACTCCAAAGACCCATCTGCCCATTGTGGCATCCATTTTATCAGTTTCCATGATCCTTGTTGTTTAAGGTATATGCTTAATAATTATTGCCATAATGAACGTCTTCTACCACGTCCTCCTGTCAGGAACTGGCTGTAGAATATTATAAATTATATTATTTTCATTAAATCATAATTTGCTTTATTCATGGATACTACAGTGTTCTTTGAGGGTGTGTGTGATCAGATCTTTAGGTATTGAGAAAAAGTGTTTACTTGATAAAGTATTTTGAGGTGGGGGCTATGGATGGTTTGGCATTCAGAATCAGAAGTGTTAATTGGTTTTAGGTCTTCTTGAGAGTTTTTTACCTGCTATGGAGAACGGAAGGACATGGTGGAAGTAGTAAGTCATGGGGGTATGGCCTGTTTAGTTGGTGGTTGGGTCGTTGGCAGTGGCAAACCATTGATGTTGTTCCAGACAGCTGGAGAATGACTTAAGTTGGATATTGCTTGCTTAGGTGGCAGTTGATTCTTTAGGCGTTTTTTTTTTGTTTAGATTATTTTAATTTCTTTTTGGTTTAATTTAGATGCAAATTGCATTTTTGGGTTAGGACACTGCTTTGTCAATTGCTATTGATGTTTTGACATAAGAGAGATGGTTGCCGGGATTTTCTTGGAGGGTGAGATATAATACCGTGTGTCTAGCACCTTTTTTCTTGGGGGTGTTGGGCAGAGGGGATGGTGAATAATTGAGCTAGCATTTGATGATGGGAATACTTTTTGGGCTAACATGCTATTTACTTCTCAGACATGGAGAAACTAACTTGATTTTCACAAATATGGAATGACATGTACCATTTAAGAGAGGGTTCAGTAGGAATGGGTTGTTTTCATCGAGTATGGGTTGGGGCATGGTGAAAGTTTTGTCCATTTTTGCATGAATATGCTTATTATTCTTCTCCTGTTGAATATTTTTTGTAACTCAAGTAAGGTTGCTTCCTAGACTTCTTGTCTTCTCCTTTGCTAATTCTCTTGCTGATATGGGTTTTATTGATCCAACTTTGTAGACTATAATTTCAGCACCGCCGTACCTAAGGACACTGAACTCTATAAAGCAAAACAAACAGAAGCTTTGCAGAAATATGAGATGTAAGATAATTATTCCAATCTAAATTCGTTTTCATTCAATCTTCATAAGATATTTGTTTACTTTTGACACAATCTTCCCTCTCATGCTTATGTTTTTTCAGTCTAGTGGAGTTGGAGAAACAACTTTCGATGCACTTCCCAAAGCCTGGAAACATTGGCAATAAAGGAAACTAATCACTGCATAGATTTCAAGCTGATTTTGCACATCGATTAAAATTCAGAATGACACAGTTTTGCAGTGTATTGATTATAATTTCACATCCAGTTTTGCTGGTTCGATTCTGCAAAATTTCGACCATGGCCTATAGAAACTAGTTTTAGAAACTAATTCCTTTCGTAGTTTCTGGTTCTTGCTCCCCGTCCCACCACTCTCGACGTCCCTGTCCTTGTGAGAAGTATCCTTGATTCTATGGTAATGTAAGAAATATGGAATATTAAGTTAGCAATTAGTTCATTTGCCAATTCTCATTTGTATAAAATAAAGTCTTGCTAGTTATGAATATCTCAAAAATATTTGAATGAAAGGTCTCTATCATTCAGTAGTTGTTACTTGTTCTATGTTAGGTAGGTTGGCTAATAAATAGTAGGGTAAATGGTACAATTTTATAAATGAAGCTACCAAATTTCCCATATACACATTCTGAAATCCTCAGGGTTTTCTTTGGGCATTTGATAATGACTTTTCCATGATTGGTCTATTATAAGTACTACTGTATATATGGTTCATTATAAAGTGCTTTATTCAATTTTATTGCATGAGTTTTTATGTTTAGTACAAAAAAATCAATCAAAAAGGAGGATATTATTGAGGATTGTAACTATATGCTAGAAATAAATAAGACTGCACATATTTGAACAAATATAGAGAATTTCTACCAAATGAACTATACATATATTATATATCTACTGGCTATTTTTAATTTAAACGGTTTGATGAATGACTGTTTAATTAGGTTAATTCTTTGTAAAAATCAAATTACGGAAACTTGTATAAGCTAACAAGAGGGAGTTATTCGGATGATCTCTAGTGCATCCCCATAATTCCCCTTTTGTATTTTTTTGTCTAATGAAGGAGAAATCATTGTGGTGGTATGAGGAAAGTTGCAAGCATGGAGGAAGTGAAAAAGAAATAAACTAAATTAAATTAAAGAAAGAGACCATTTTGTAAAACAGACAAATTTGTTGCTTAATTAATTCAATTATTGTTTCTTTAGAGCCGAAAGTACAAAAGTTGACGAAAGCATTAACCTTGGAAATGTACAACATTTCGAGATGCTAAGCTAATTAAAAGGAGTAATCATTTGGTTTAGCAAATACAATTAGAAGAAGCAAAGCATACATCAAAGTTGGAGGAAAGCACATTAAAGACCTAAAATAAGTTACATGAAAAAGGAAAAATCTTTTTGGCCAGAAAATTTGTCCAAAATGATATTTCACCTATGTTATTTTACCTTTTTAGTTTTTTTACCCTTTTAACTTTAATACCTTTTAATTAAAAAATGGAAAAAGATCAGTTTATTTTAAAATGAAAAATATATCATAAACTTTTTCAATTTCTCGCCAAATTTTCTGGCCATTTATCATTATCCTGAAAAAGATATGTTGTCTTTTTTTTTCTTTTTAGTCCTTTTCTCTTCTTCTTTGTTGTGGATTGGGATCACTCGCTAGTTAAATTAGATTGAAGCAAGATTTTATGAGAACATATTTTTTCATATTCGGGAATGAGGAACACAATAACGTTTCGATCTACTTAATTATACTCTAATTCGCAGAAAAAAAAGTCATCTAGGTGCTTCTTGTTGCTTTGATCTCCTCAACTACGTTTAGAACATTGTCTGGGCCAAGAGCCATAGTAAGTTAGTATTTTTGATTATTTCTTCCTCGTTGTTGATATCGACAAGGCCCAGCCAAATGATGTCTGCTAGTTGGGAGTGACAGAGGTTGGTTGTAAAGTAAATAAGGGTGGTGCAATTTTTGATAAAAAAATGAAGATTGTATCGTTTTTAACTATCCGCTGGTAAATCTGATCAAATTCCAATGAAACAAAATAGTTAGACGATTTCTAATCATTTAGTATCTCTTCTACAAGAAAGTAGTACTCATATAATGAATTAGCTAAAATGCGTGGAAGCTGACTCGAAACACTATGTCTTGAAACATGGAATATATCACATTATCAAACTTTCATTAACTAGTTCATATATGCATCGTCCATTTGTAGGGTAATAAACCATGCAATAGACTGATATGGGCCAATCTTGTTGAAGGAAAAAGAAGAGGCCAAAGTATATAAAATTTGGACCATTATAGAGATAAACTTTTCTAATTGGGATTTATTTTATAATCCCCATCTAATCAAAGAACATGCACAAATCCTCCCCACAACAAACACAAAGACAGAAGGTAGGTTACAATAATTAATTAAGTGAAGACCCCTTTTCCACCCTAAATACCAACAAAATGAAGAGTTAAATTATTGCTAAAAATTAAAGTAGCACATCAACTATATATATACCTTACTTTTATTCATTACTGTTCTTGACTTGATCCTCCAATTGATCTTTTAATTAGAAAATAATTAGTTTAATATTAAAAAATACACGAAAAGCTACATATTAATTAAAAGGATAAAGAGACTCTCCACTAATTGACAATTTTCAGATATGATTTTGGTGTCAAGTAGGGGTGTACATGACCGGGTTGGTTTGGGTTTTTCAAATATCAAATCAAATTATTTGTGTCGAATTTTTAAATCTATAAACCAAACCAAACCAATAAAATTCGGGTTTTTCAACCTCAGGTTTTTTCGGGTTTTTCCAGTAAAGTATTCATACAAACATATAATTTACTTGTACTTCAAATATTTTTTTAGTCCTACCAAAATACAACTATCTAAGGTGTTTCTTAAGAAAATAACATAAAATATGATATGAGTAATGACACTAAAATATTCAACAAAAAAATAATAATAATGAAATCGCGTAAAACAAATATTGCAAATTAACAAGTCATAATGAAAATGATCATAATTTAAAAGTACTAAATCATGCTAAAATAAGTTTAATAAGTATTAGTTACATGACTAAATATTAAAGGAAATTAAAATTAGATTATGTATTT